GAAAACTTTAAGGGTTGGCAGTGGTTTCCGCTAAGGTCATGCCCTGTCCCCTCTCCTGCTTATGTTTTATATGGACAGAATAGTCAGGTGCAGCAACGGCGATGATTATATCGATGAACTTAGGAGAATGTTGCCATTTCCACATAGCATCGTTTTGTTGGCATCTTCTGAAACAGATCTACAAGGCTCTCTGGAAAGGTTCACAGCTGAGTGTGACGTGGCCGACATGCCATTCTGCATATTCTTTACCGAATCGCTCCTTGCGTGTCCACCAGCTTGTTCTCCTGATTCTTCAGTGACAGTGCAGCGTTCATCATTTTGATCAAAGAATGCAGAATGGTTGAGTTGAACAGTTCTTCCGCATGGCAAGCTTTTTAACAGCTCCTCAGTTTTGCCGCACGGACATCTCAGTGATAGGGGCAGCGATATTTTACTGCTGTTAAAGCTGGCCAATGCCGCCTGTCTGGTTCCCCTAATTTTCTAGTGAAACGAGTTCAAGCTCTCGTACCGTTCACCTCGTATGCATAGCTAACGACCTGTTGGAGTTCTTCGTTATTCACACAGATATCTCCTCACATCGCAATGCTCGTTTTGCAACAGTTTCGCTTTGGAGAGATTTGCCTCCAATCCGTTGGCAGAGAGTTTTCTTGGTGCTTCTAAATCTTCCATGCGGACTTAATCGTGTCGTGTACATTAAAGGTGCAATCCTCCGCAAATAACAAGTGCGTTAGATGCTCTCTGTCAACAAAGTGACCGTTACACCAGTTTAGCCGGCAGAACAGTAGCTCCAAGACCGCCGAGTGACATTTCCTTGACGCACTTATCGATGGATACTCATGCGAGGTTGTTTACTGAAGAGCTGGACGCCAGCCGTGCTACAGCTACTGGCATAAGCAGGGCATCTGCCATGTTCATGAAAGGCATTCAGCAGAACTATCGAGATCTAGGTCGAATGGAATGCCTTGTTGCAGTGGATAAAAGCAAACAAGAGATACACTTGACACTGCTTGCATTCCTCTGTGAGCTGTTGGATCACATGTGCATGATCGCGGCTGTAAGACATCCTGTTGCAAATCCGGTTGTTTTTCGATTGACGCTAATCCGATGTCCTGAATGCAGTTCTAATCTTGCTTCATAGCGGTTTCAATTCCTGACACCCTGCAGAACCATGAATGTTAATTACAGAAATAACAACAGAAGGACAACCTCGTTTCTACATTTTTCAACGTAATCCGTCGGCCATAGCTTGCAGACGTTTAAGGGGCCATTTAAACTAAAGCTTATCAGAATATTTCGCTTTTGAAAGTTTGCCTGCAGTGAGTAAGTAACTGTTCTAGCTGAGAAAATGGTAAATGATCCGAAATACATTTACCACATGTAGGCATGCTGTTCGTTCTACTCTTGTAAGATGATTCGATGTTCTTCAGGTTTCTTTTACATATATTTCTTAGGCGAAATTTAGATCCGCATGCAATAAGAGATCCTATGAAGGCACAGATACCGTATTTATTCTCTCGTTAATAATCCTTTTCACTATTTAGCTACGTCCTGCTG